AGTAGAATAATAACTAATACTCGAAGATAATACATTCAACAAACCAGAAACATATAGTAAACGTACAACAACAGTAATTAACTTAAGGGAATTGCAAAGGATACTTTTCTTTCTCCATTGTTATGTAGTCGTCCCTAATTCTTATTTTATCTTCCATAGGGTCCTTTTGGCTACCAAGTTCTATCATTTCTGCATCCTTGTCAGCAAGCCATTTTTCAGACAGTTTGATATTCTTCTTAGTTTTTTTTATCCATTCCTCATGATCTTTGATTTTTTTTAGTAATCGTCATCCTTTCCTAAACCTCTTTGCACTCCACCGCAATGAGGTCACGACGTTCAGTGAGAGCTCGAGATGAGTCTTTATCTTTTTTTTGTTGTTCTTCAGCCCATTGTAGTTGTTGCAAAGTATCCTCAGACATATACGACTCTCTTAAATTTAGTGATGGGGCAAGAAAAGGGTCGATCGGATCGCAATAGAAACAATCAACTTCGTTGCACGAGCAAATATACAAAGTTGAAGATGAACTCATTTTAAATTTTAAAAAAAAATTATAACTCTATACCAAAAACCCAACGACCATCCACGACTATATATAGTCCCTTCCACTCCGCAGGGAGCTGTTGTCAGTCCGCAATAATGTTTGTCAGTCCGCAAAGCTGTTTGTCTAGTCGTTGTCATCCATACATTACAATTATGGCAATACAATTATTTAGTTAAAGGTAAACATTTTTTATTAAAAAGTAAAGAACGCCAACAGACCATTACAACTACGGTTAACATATAACTGAATACAAACTAATATTCGTTGTGATCCATACAATACAGTTCAATTGAATTGTCGTGGAGGTAAGACCACAACACTTTCAACTGGTATTTCCCAATGCCTAAGGGTTGGAATAGGATTGACCATCTCAGTTTGATAAGCATTTCGATACACCGCGATACTTAGCTTTAAATTTACCATTTGCTGGATTTCTGCAATTTCGAGTCTTTGTAGTGAAGCTATAGCATGCTCACAAGGTATACTGTATTTTTGCCATTTACCGCAACTACAAATACCACGGTCTAATTCGACAAAATTCGGTTGTTGAATACTTACTCACTTCATATCTGTCGCCAACAATATGCGTAATCCTACAACCATCCGAGTGGATAAATCTTTTATGAATCACCTTAAGTGCATAAGGGGTTAGAAGACCATGAAAATCCCCTGTGAAATGAACTGAATCAAAAAACAAAAATTATGATGTCATAACGTATAATAACATATCAATTGACCATTTGAGTGATGTCATAACTTATAATTACCTCCAAACGCAGCACGTTGAAGATACACTGCTTGCATCGAGTCATGGACCATTTCAATGATTGTTGTTATTGGAAACTCATGCGTGTTTGTTCTTAACCAATTGACAACAACGGGAATGTCAATGAATTTAACATTGAAACGTACTCTTGGAAAACAAGCCCGTACCCATTTTGCTTGGGAATATTGTCAAGCCAATGAAGATCATTCCCATTAACATCATTTTTTAAGTTGTTCAAACATGCATAAAAATGAGATAAATTATACGCTTTACAAGTCTTCCAGAACAACTGCTCTACGACTGTATTGCTTCCGATGGAAGAGCGTATTTTCTCGGCTATATTTTTACAACAATAGCCATGATATGAATCAGGGTAGACTCTTTGAACTGCAAAATCTATAGAATCAGACATATGGCTTACGAAACCAACTTCTGTATTGTCACCTAAACATTCTTTAAGCCTCCTCATGAACCATAACCATGAATTGTCATGGTCTATGGTTCCCAAAGCAAACGCTATGAGAAGGGGTTCATGATTTCCATCTAAAGCAACCACAATGTACATGGATCATACATACGCCCCAATTAGAGGTACTTGACCAACGAATATGATTGGTATCATAGACGTGAGAAACGTACGAATCTGTAAGTCAAGATAAGAATATTAGGCATATAACAGCTTGAAATAACTAAATATTTATTTACTATAAGGGATTACATACCACGCATCCCAATGCCACAAAACAAATTTAGAAACGATTGTACTGATCTTTCGTAATGTACGTGAAGATGTTAGGATTGGTTCTTTGCAGATTATGGAAAAAAGTCGGTAGGCTGGAGAAACTTTTTCTTAATACCTAATTGACTGAACTCATTTTCACGACTTCCGACACCTTGTAAAAATGAAAATGCTTGTCCAGTTTATAAGGAATTAGTATACATTATTCTGCAGAACTTACTTGTCAGTCCGCGTAAATGACTTCTCAGTACACGTAACTTATTTGTCAGTCCGCGTAACCTGTTTGTCAGATTTTGTTATTTGAATGTATGGTTTCGTAACATTTGTTGGTGAATTATTTTTCAAAAAATAAAGGATAAATACCGTATTACATATAAATAAAGCAATACAAGAACAATACAAAACGCAATACTTGTTAAAAAACGAAGACATTTTTCAAAAGATTCCAAGGGGCTTCATACTCGAAACTCTGTCCATTGCTAATGGATTTGTATTCTTCTTTAGCCGCCTCCAAGATGTCTTCCTCAGTATCATTCACACGATTGTCTTCAATCTTATTATAAAGATCGTTGAATAACACAACTTCTGTTTTCAATTCATAGCATTTTGCAGCTATATCAAGCGTATTGCGATGGTTTTCTATGGTGGTTTCAGCGTCAGTGTTGAAGGTATTCATTAATAGGACCCAAAACATTCTATCCTCCAAACTGGTGTTCTCGTAGACATTAATATATGCACGAGTTAGAAGCAAATACTAGTTAGCGGTCCATGGGTTTGAACCCATTGTAAAACATGACAGTCCGCAAATATCCAATGATCATTCATGACAATATATAGTCCCTTCAACTCCGCAGAGAGCTGTTCGTCAATCCGCGTTACTGACTTGTCAGTCCGCAAAGCGAATTTTCAGTCCGCGTTACTGACTTGTCATTCCGCGTTACTGACTTGTCAGTCCGCAAAGCGAATGGTCAGTCCGCGTTACTGACTTGTCATTCCGCGTTACTGACTTGTTAGTCCGCGTTACCTATCTTTTTATATATAGTAAAGCACGTATCTATACGTCCGAATTAGAGGTAAGGGATCATTTCACAAAATGGCATGCAATGTACCAACGTCTTCAAATGTAGCTAATCTGTCTAATGCGTCTGCTCCAAAAAATGGTACATCTCCATGGACGACATCAGAGGTGTTGGTCCTAACACGATGCTGGATTACCGTTTACGAGGGTCTGCCGGTAATGGCTCCCCTTAATTGCCTTGTTGGTGATGAATGGTCCCGCTTAGTATCTTTGTTCAACTATAAGGTGGGACAAGGACAAGAACGACTAAAACCTGATATTGTTAGTAAATGGATGGATTTAAAGACTAAAGTCACATGGTACAATCGATGCTACAATTATGAGAAAATATGATGCTCTGATGCTGATGATGAAGAACTTCTACAATACGTGAACGGATATTACCTGTGCCAGTTTGATGAAACTCAGTTCAAGTATACGGACGTTTGGAATCTGGTTAGAAATAAACCTTTTTTCATGTAGACGACTCTTTTATTTGTAATGTTCTACGTAATGTTTGTTAGTCATTCATCTTTTATTTGTAATGTTTTCTGTAATGTTATTATGTTATTTCAAATGTTTGTTTTGTTTTTAATGTATCGTAATATATGTTGGTGAATTATGTTTCAAAAAATATATGATACAAAAGTTGTTTATATTAAACAAAACTACTAAAAACAAGTATTTCATAATAATGTCTACAAACTTCCAAACATCAAGTTATTTAGTATCCCAAATAATATTTGTCATCCTATTTCTGTAGAGAAATCCCGCATCTCTACATGGCTTATCACTCTTCACCGGTACCCCCGAAGCAATCATTTCCATATACATGCTTACGAATACTCCACAATCCCCTCTATTAGTAATATATTCATGTTGTGGCGCGTCTACAATATAAATAAACTCCACAACTGCGTTGTCTTTGTGTCCATCGGGGAAATCCTTCCAGTAATCAATCGCATCTAGCTCTTCGATTATACTATCCCCAAAACTTTTGAATTCTCCACCAGTCAAGTACGTTGTGAAGTAATTCATACATCGTGCTGAATCATAAATGTGTACTTTCCAAATATCTAAATGTAGCACTGCCAAAAACCAATGGGCATGAGGAACGTTTATGGGGAATAGAACATGCAAACAAAAACAAATTTAATAGTCATTAATTCGTTTCCTATATAAAATAATTTTAATTAATAAACTTAACTAACCATATCCACATCCTTCCATTTAGGATGGCCTCCGACACCATTTGCTATATTCCTAAGAAAATATGTTTTTCCGTTTTGCAAATTAAGTTCTTGAGGAAATATCGTCCACCTTGCGTTCGCCGGCCGTCTTTCCATGAGCAAGGCACTCCATATCGCAATATGCTGTACATTTTAAGATAAAAATGTTACAGTTTTTTATATAAATTATCGTCTAAAATGTAGTTAAAAATTATATTTAACGAAAGTTACCGAAGAAATTAACCACCCAGCGTCAGTAACTGCAAGTAACCTCGACCAAAACTCCACATCCAGTGTGAGCATATGCAGCCTATGTTTAGTGTTTAGGTTGGAAGAAATCCTATTCCATTCTTTCCAAAAACTCAACGTACTGGCAGCTTCAACACTGTCGAGCAGGAGATGATTTGAAACATCATTACTCTCTTCATTCACAATGTCTTCATTTGCTTTTTCAGGACTCTTCACCACTTTTTTTTATTTGCTTTGGTGATTTTCTTCAATTTTGGTGTGGATTGCAACTAAAAAATTAACATGTTAGATAATTATCAATACGTTAATATTTTAAAAATATACCAAATTTAAAATATGATTTTTGTACCACTGTGAATGGAGTCCGCTGATACCATGGAACACCGCTCTTTCGTTGCGGCCAAACAATAGGAGTCATTTATTTTGTGTGATGTTCACCCACGTCCGATGACGACTCAACATGCGTAGGTGTAGGCCCAAATTCCCTCTCCAAACCATGAGTACCTATATCATCATAGTCAAAATGTGTATCATGGTAATTTTTTTCTTCCTCCTCTTCATTTATCATCTCTTCCTCCTCTCGAAACCCTCTGTCTGGTTCAACATTTGTGTCTGGTTCATCTTTTTTCTGTAATAAACGGTCTATTTTAGAACTTAAGTCAGCCACAACGCCTAGTAGACGCTTCACTAATGCCTTTGTGCTCGTCTTCTTCTTCTTTACCAATCTTGATGTGTCGTTTGACATATAACTTGTTTCTATTTCAAGATGTTGCGAGGAAGAAGCATTTGTGGCAGATTCAGTCGAAGATGTTTCTATTTCGGACTTGTACATCCTTCTTCGACCAGGCGAGGCAACATGAGGTGGACTATTTCAGACAGGACTATGTTGCCGTGGGGGAGACTTTACAGGGTTAACAGTCCAATTGACATAACGAACATAAAACGGCAACATCAGCTCCTCCGGGTTTGCCACGACATTAATAGGTTGGTTGTTAGGCTGCAAAAATCAGATTGTTAGTTTAACATGAAAATACATTGGAATTTGTAAATATAAATGATTGTTAATATAAAAACCATACCACAGACACGTTCATTATTCGACAACATTGAATCCAATTTAACGGTGTTTTACTTCTCCACGCCCTCATCCGTGGCAATTCTGTCGGCGTGTGTATATAAAACTTGGTTGCCTCTGGGAACGTCTCCAAAATCCATATCTATGAAAAAAAATGTAAGTATCGTTCTATTATACTATAATACAAACTATTAAAATGCATTAGAAAGTAACCTTAAACGGAAGCATTAAACCAGGAACGGTATACTTGTATACTTTCTTCGATTCGGGATTGGCCTGCTTGAATTCTCTAAACTCTTCTATTTTCTTAAATATTCCACGCATCATACGCGAAGTATATTTCCAGAAATACATACCCCATTCAAACCTGCAATTTTCAATTTATTTATTATAATTACTGCGGGAATGCCTGTTTTAAATGTAATACCTGTTCTAATCATCTATATTATCAGCAAGCTTGTAGACTGCTGCAGGAATGCCCGTTTTAACGTCCCGTCCGTGTAGACCCTTCAACATAAAAACAAGCTGGATAAGCATCACAACATCTTCATCTTGTAGTGCCAAATAATTCGGGGACATAATCAAGTCTTCTAAATCTTTCAGCCGCAAACGTGCATCAGAAATATATGGGAACAACCGAGCACGGAGATTTGAATTTGTCTGGCCCTTTTCGTCATGGAGTAAATCCACATAAGGACCAGCTCTTAAACCACAAATCAGAATATATTCAGTTTCACCAAAACCTAACTGGATCCCCTCTATATCAAACAGAAACCTCCCCATTTCAAATATTTGTTGACACCTTACTTCGTGCAACATCATCATATGCACAAGTACGGGATCACCATGTGGGATATGCATTCCTAAGAATATTCCAAAGGGGGAAGCTTCGAATAATACTCGTTGTGATTGTGTTAGGCGCGGAAAATATTCTTTAATGATAGTCCCCACCACGCCTTTCAAAGTTAAATCCGCTTTTTGATTGAGATCTTCGTGCTACACAACAAAAAAAATTATTTCATTTAAAACATTACTAATTGAAAAAAAAAATTATTTCATTATGAAATAAATAGCAACATACTTAGAAGCAGAAAAATAAAAATTGTGTAAAAACCATTTTTAAGGTCATTCCGCGGAGGCTAGAGGTCATTCCGCGGAGGTAACACATCACTCCGCGAAGCACCCTCTGCGGACTGACATCCACCTTCGCGGAGTGGATCATCCCAAAAAACGTATATGTGATTTGTAAACCTAAAAAATCCTAAATCTGTATACATATTCAATTTAATAAAATGGGTTTTCCTCTAATTTGAATCATATTCGAGATTTTCGACATTAATAATTAGATGAGAATGTGAGAAATACCCGGGAACCGTATCCATCGGCCATAACATCGGGGAATTCGGGGTCCATCGGTGACGGAGAGAGTTGTGCTATATACTCGATTTCGCCGGATTTGAAGTCATTTGACGGCGTATTCCATCAGAGTTGAAGTCGTCGCCGGAGTTGAAGTCGTCGCCGGATTTGAAGTCTTCGATCAACGCCTATGCGACCCGATGCAGAGTGACGAAGAGGAACGGGGACCAGTGGGGACCAAAAGAGGACCCCTTCGTTTTTCTAAAAAAAATTGTTGAAATTACGAAATTACCCCCTCTACGCGGAGTTTTCATGGTTCCGCAGAATGTATGTCTATATCCGGAAAAATCTTTTTTATGACTAAATTTAGAAATTGACCCCCATTTTTTGTCTATTTGCGGTATTATCCCAAAAAACATCTCCAAATGGTCGACCCTCCTCTGACAAAGCACCTCATAACCACCTCCTCCAGCCGGACGTCGACAGTCGTTCCTTGACCATGGTGACATCCTGCAACGATAACTCTAGTGTCTGTCTCTCTTAACCATCATCTCCAACTCCCAGTCGACAAAGCACCTGACTACCTGTTGACTCCATCAAATAGCAACCCCAACATAAGTCGCAACCAACACCACCGTCCGTTGCCACCTCTCGCAGCCAGGCCTCCAACCGGTGATAGATTCCTTCGGAGCTCACCAACACATGTAACCCCACTCAATCATCGCTAACCGCTGCCGACTCCGCCAACACATCTCCCGCTGCGTCCGACGGAGACTTAAAACCAAACCATTACCGATTGTTTCTTTTCTCGATCAGTCATCGCATCATAATCACAACATCGTCAGATGTCAGCTTCAATCGACCCACAACTGCCTCCCCCTTCGGAGGCCACAACACCTCTGATTTCAAGTCATCCACTAGTGACGAATTCCAAAGGAGAACCACGAAGGCTTTCTCCAATCACAACCAAAGCTCCAGCCTGCCTCCGTGTTCTCGCTCACCACCACCAACCAGAGACACATCGCCCCCACAGCTCCATGTCATCGCCATAATAACAGCACAGATCCGCCTTACCAGTGACAACCCCAGTCGAGGAACATAAAGAAAAAAATGAAAATGAATAAGAAGAAGAATCATCTCCAGTTGATGTTTCCCTTTCCCTTGGCGTCTTTGTGAAGTCACGACTCGTGAACCAGAGCCAGTGAAAACCCTATGGTTCAAAACTGATAAGAAGCATATAATGGGCCCATATACACAATTCATACGTAGATGACAATAACGAATTAGCATCGGCCCATATTTCGTAAATAGGCTCCAACAACTTCATATTGGGCTGGTTATTACAGATGGGCTACCACTATTCTATATTGGTCTTAGATCCAAATAAATTTTCAGTATTAATGGACTACTTGAATAACATTAAATTGGACCATTTTAAAAGAAAAAATTAGCCAATCAGCTGTTTAATGTTCGCTTGTCGCGATTTCCGTTCAACAAAAGCGTTTCTAGAATACGCGTTGCGGCGTGGACCACTCGGCTTTTTCAAAAAAAAAAGAATTGTCATTCGGGCTTTAAATCGAAATGGGCTACAATAGTCGTATTGGGCTTCTCATAAAGTTGGTGTTTCCACTCTATTCGAATATCTCAAAATAAAAAAAATTATAAAAAGGGGGGGCATTAGTGCAAGACAAATTCCGCCTATTAATCGCTCAACGTCTGTGTGTTGCAAGAGTGCGTAGTAAAATTTAGTTCTAGAAGACGTGTTGTGGCCCACTTGACGGTTACTAAAAAAAGGACAATAAGGGAAAATATTTGGGCTCATTATTTGGGCTCTACAATTTCATGTTGGGCCCCATCAAATGGATTTTAGGCTTCTCCTAAAGTTAGCTTCTTCAATAATGGGCTACTTCTACAAGGAAAAGTCACTCAATGCTTGTGTGTTCCAATTCAGTGTTTTCAAAAAAAAGGAGGGTGGAAAGTAGTATGCTACTATTACTCATGCATCATTTCCAAATAACCCCCAACAACCGTGTGGTGTCACACCCCCAAACTGGAACGGTGGAAACGTTCGGGGGCGGAGGACGTCATGTACAGTATCATAACAATGCACAATAGTAAAACAAGCAACAACATCATCCATTGCATTAATAATATAGTTTATAGATGTGTGTTCTATGTAAAGTTATAAGACACAAAAAATATGTAATCAAAATAAAGACGAGTCTTGAATATGCTCCGTCTTCACAAAACCTGGTGATCTGTACCTGTCTACTGGTGACCTGAGAATACAAGTTATTTTGAAAGAGTAGATCAGCATTTAAGGTGGTGAGTTCGTAAGTATTTTTGTGTCAAAAAGGATGTATCTGTTTCATGAAAATGTTTGAAAGTGTTTTGATGTAAATGTTTGTATACTTCCTAGAAAATCCTATATTTTCTACTAAAAATAGAAAGTAGTCTTCTACCAAGACCCGACTGTTTTGTATGTTTGTTTTCTTGTAAAAATGTATGTTTTACCAAGTTTATGACTATCTTTACTAGAAAATAGTTTGCATTTCTTCATGTGAGAAAATCACTATATGAATGTAATGGAAAAATGAAGATGTACACTAGTATTGTATAAAATAACTACTGAAGTACTAATTACCTTAAAACGAATTTGTTAATTAAGGTAAAATGTGATGAGGTTATAACCATGCTTGATTGACTAGTACAAAACACGACGTTCTTCAGGTGTCGAAAATGGTATGACATTTGTCACCCGTAGACCTGCAGGTCCCACTGTAGCTAGCAGCAAGGTGTAGGATGGTCAATCCCGTATTGATCTATACACAAACTCACACTCTCCTCCGAGGAGACTCTGGTTACAAAACGTGACACAACAAGTATATTGCTATGCCATGAAATAGTGGCTCACATTATAGTATGTATGTTCCTTCCTGTTCTAGTTATAGTATGTATGTTCTTCCTGATCTAGTTATAGTATGTATGTTTCTTCCTGATCTAGTTACAGTATGAATGAATTGACTCATGTGTGTTTCACTGATCTAGAAATAGTAAGTAGTGATTCTCTAAACTATACCTATTATAGTTTACTAGTATGATTGTTTGACTGTTTCTGATTTGTAGAAAAGACTCAATTACTCACCATAAGCAACTAAGTTAAGCATGATCCTTAAAAATGGGTTTAATATTCATATATGTATTTAATAAGTATAACTACGATTTAGCCGACAGTCAGACTAGTGATCCTACCCCAAGCCCACAACCAAACAAGGAACAGGAGTCAAGGTATCCAACAATAGTCCTAAGTCTGTTAAAGCATACTTATACGTAAATAAATAGACGAATATGATTTTGATATAAAAGAAGTCTAAAATAATTTAAAAGAGTTTTAACAAGTT